TTTCATGTCTGTCGCGCATTTATGGTCGTACGTATGCCGTTAATAACGTATTTTATGTTATGCAATCGGAAGTAGATTTATAAATTCAGTAACAACTTCAATCTCGCAGTGAGTGTTTAAAATACAGTTAAGTTTTTGTGTGCTGTTTTCTATCTACCATTGGAAGCAATCGTGAGGCCAATTATTATGGCTTTCATCAGCACACAATTTACAAGCGGATCGAGTGTGATAAGAAGGCATATTATGTGTGGATGAATGAGCAATCTGTTCGATCTGCTTCGTTAGTGATAAATCAACTACCGGAATTAGAAATGCCCGAACTAGTCCCAGGAGTGTATACGGATAGGCAGGCGCCGGACTCGGACGATGATGATGACCTACTGTGCCTCCCGAGGCAGCTACTTGGTTGGCCAACACCACCCATCATGCTTCAGTAAGCATATTTAACCCCAGTAATTCGTAGGCCAAGACCGGCATGTCACCGGCAGATCGAAAGCTCCGAGGAAGCGTGCGCCAAGAATGGCACAGTGGATGTCAGCATCGACGACGATGCAGTGAAGACACTCTGAGACCGATGTTAAGATAGACAGAGAGGACTAGTAGACAGTGCAACGACACAGGAAAAAAGGCAAGCGGTCATGCCACAAGGCGAGTGACAGCCGCTGAGGTTGCTAGCGACGGAGCGGAGTGCGTGGCTCGAATTTGAGCTTTGTCGCTTGCAGCTGATCAGCTAAGCCCGCAGCGTCGATCGGCCTTTAGTTATCGCCGCTTTGGTTCCAAGTTACAGGCGTTTCAAGCAATCTACTGAAAGGAGCTTTGGGGGGGCTAAAGGCGACATGGCAATCGCGGGAGCAGATTAACAAAAGCGCTCAGAGGGAGAACTTCAATTCAATTAATTCAATTCAATTATTTTTATTAAAGACCCGTCGGGGTCCCATCAAAGAACGTCAGCAACATCTGGAATTCCGGAGAACGAAATAACATATGTATGTTTATCTTCCTCAAGTGTACCTAACCTCGAGGAAGAAAGACGACATGTCAACACAACATAGCCTGTTCATGTCCGCTGGCCCTGCCATCCAGTTCTGGCAGCATCCCCAAAACCTTCGATACACAGGCAATTAGTTCATCTTGACATGACCCTTCACCAAATAGTGATGTCATATATCATGCCGAATTTGAAGAACCGAAGAGTAGGAAGCCAAGCAGACCTAGGGCGATTTCCCAAAAAGGGTTTTAACTCACGAGGACGTTTGTTCATCCAACGAGCCAAATGCTAGCAATAGCAGGTCTATTGGGATGCAAATAATTAAAGTTCAGTGTTGCCTATAAAACTTGGCGTTAACGCTCCCGTAAACAAGGAACTTGGATCGACATAATTATTCTCAGTATCTGAGATCCAACAAATAAGGAAGTCACCAGTTTGCCGCGCGCGTCTCGATAGAAAACGCAGTACTGTAAAAAGGGAGCTATTGTGTCAAATTCGTCGACTGCAATTGAAAGGGCCGAGTATTACCTTAGCCTGCGTAGCAAATGCTTCTACGTCTTCCCTAGAGTTGATAAATATGTTACTATACACCAATCATTCTATCCAGAAAAAGCAGACGGATTTCGTGAGCACTTATCACCACTTCCTCATGACTATTCGACCGTCGTTGCCGATAATGTTTACCGTGGGCCCTACGGTAGGGTGAGGGCAACGGCGGCGACTTGCGCAAGATTTCTTTTATAGTGGTAATAGGCTTGCACTGCATTTACCGCATTCTCGTCTTCCCCACCTGGGCTCGGTGCCAGGACGGAGTCAAATACACCGAATGCAATATGGGACGTAGGTGGCTGGCACGACGTGAACCTGTACCTAGACGTACCACCACGCTCCATAATTCAAAACATAAACGACCAGAATTTTACACAACAAGCGGTGATGGGGCGGCTCTGGTCCCACGAACCGGGAGTGCCATAGAGGATGCATTACAAAGGAGTCTTTGCGGACTGACTCCCAGTCCACCAGTCAGCCACTCCACATAAATATGCACCAGGCTAACTGGGTGGGGTTGTCGAGCTGCTGCGTTAAGTTCGAAGATGGCCGACGAGACTGATCCGCACGCGGAATGTCCGTTGACAGGTCCGGCATTTTCGTAGTGGTTGGGGGCGGTTTTGCAGATCAGGTGCGCCTAAGACCTGCAAGCTTCCTTTTTGGCTTTGAAAGCGGCAATCTAGTCGACTTCACAGATGGCGGTTCCATTTTCCCCTGCTCTTCACCAAGCCAATCGGTTCTGTGCAGGGTCTCCCCAAAACTTTGGGTTAATATCTAACCGCCTAAAGGTTCTCTTGTAGCTACGGGTTTGACCTCGTCCCTGGCGAGCACCCGTGGAGACATGTCCGCAGAAGATTCGTTTTGGTGCGCTCTCCTTCCATCCTCACTAGGAGCCTTTCAGGCGTAGTTTCAGCTGCCTAAGCATGGCGGGGATGCTGAGGATTCCAGTTAAATAAATAAATAAATTTTTAATTTAATGCCAGTTTACAGGCATTGTCAAGGGAAGTGAGTAAACACAAATCCGACCAGTAGTGAAAAAAAAACTCCTGAGCTTAAGGCATAAAAATATAGTTGATGGTGGTTTTTGTGGTTTAGAGGACTCAGGAGAAAAAAACTGTCGGCGGTGGTAGAATATCGACCGTCAAGAAGGGGGGAGGTTGCACGGTATCGGAGATTATCGGACGTCAAATTCCTTTCATGAAGTTGGGGATAGTCAAAGTAGAGGCGTTGAGGAACAGCTGGTGAGACCGGCCATAGTGTTCAGAGACCACAAACGCCATCGCTACGGTACAGTCGATCAGTAGATTCAGCACCCAAAATTTGAGGAAGCTTTTCTGAATGCAAAAATCGAGTAATAGTTCTCTTAAATAAAGGATAATTTTGCAGAGCTTTCACACTCATTGGTAGTTTATTCCAAATAGCAATTGCATTTACAGAAAAGAACCGACGATATTTAACAGTACGTGCCAGAGGCAGAAATAAGAAGACCTCACGGTGACTGTTACGTCGTGGGTGGATATGATGTCTTAAAGAGGTGAGCGGGTTAAATGTGTGATTATATAAGAGTTTAAATAGCAAAAATAGTCCCTTTTGTAATCTACGGAACCATAAAGGATCGAGGCCTGTAAGCTGGCAACGTTCTTAATAAGACAAATGTCGGTGTTCCGGGGTTAAAATTCTCTTGGTAAAAAAGTGTTGAACGGATTCTATTTTCTCCCGCTCAGTAGCACGCATGAGGCTAAATAAAAACGAACAGTATTCCAGACCAGGTCTAACGTACATGTTGAAAAGGCGCATTCTAATGTCCCTAGTTTTAAAATTTCGGAGGATAAACCCGGTCGTTCTACGTGCTTTGGAGACTATCAAGGCACAGTGCTCCGAGAGATTGAGACTCTTGGAGTATGATACGCCCAAATCCTTTATAACCCCTGGCACATTTATTGCGTGACCTTCAATACTTAGTTGAGGTTGGCGGTCGTCGCCAACCACCATGACTGAGCACTTATGCCAAGAAAGAGAAAGGCGCCATGTGCGGCACCACTGGGCGAAAGCCTGTAGATCGCTCTTTAGGAGCTCAAGCACGATGTCATGATCTGCCGGCCTATATCGATATGCAACTTTAAGATCATCGGCATACATGAAAGGCTTACCATTCTGAAATAAATGGGGCACATCATTAACGAAAAGGCAAAATAAAAGCGGGCCGAGTACACTACCCTGGATGACTCCACTCCTCACAAGTGTGGGCTTGGAGATGGTATTGGAAATCTTAACTCGTTGTGTGCGAGTGCCCAAATAAGAGGATATAAAATTCAAAAGTTTGCCACCTATTCCGAAAGAGGACAGTTTCAAGAGAAGAAGAGAATGGTCAACACGGTCAAAAGCCTTGGTGAAATCGAAATATACTGTGTAAAGAGCAAAACCATGGTCCCTAGATTGGAGAACATAGTCAAAGAAAGAGAGTTGACAGGTGTCACAAGATCGAGCTTTGAGGAATCCATGCTGAGCAACACTCAGTAAATTGTTCGCTGTTAAGTGACACATCATCTTATCCTTGATCAATGTCTCT